AAGACCTCATTCAAATTCATGAATTCAATATTTCCCATAGAGCTCAAGAGAAACAAAATGAGGTTAAGAAGTACCTGAAGAACTACTAACTTCACTGTAGTGAAAGAACCAGTTTTCTTGAAAAAACAAGAGTACCGAGAAAATTCAGCATATTTTATACAGATGCAATGAAGATGTGGGTCACTAAGCTCTCTAGAGTCTATAGAGAAATTCTGAACTGCATGCTCACATTGCTAGTGCAGATGCATGCATTTTCAATAACTGTATAAATGAGAAAAATGGTATATACTTTGATAAACCAAAAAAAATAATAATAATAATAACAGTTAAGCCTTGAAGGAATAATGGTCACAATGCTTCCATCATTTCTAAACACAAAAAAATGGACAACAATAAAATCTACCATTACTGACACCTTGGAGATGATATCGATGTTAATACCACTGAATAAATATATATATACAAAATGACAAAAAATTGCCAAGATCCAAATCATCATCACTATAATTTCACACAATCACATGCAGATACAGCAGTCATCTTCAATCTAATTTCATACACCACAAGTTATATAGGTTTATGTGATATGGTTTGCTTGCCTCCCTGCTTCTTCTTTTAAACAACAGAGAAATAGTCAAACCAAGCAATGCATATAATTTCAACAATTCTTTACCTATCAATGACTAGGATTCATTAATAAACGTAAACAACACAAAACATTGAACATCAAGCAAGGGACCATCTGTGACTTTGGAGGTAATTCAGAAACTACATCTTGCAGATCTATTTCCAGACAAAATAAGATATATAAGACTTTCACAAAGTAATGGACATAATATAGATCAAAATAAGTAAAACAAAACAAAAAACAAGATCATACAGACACACACACACACACACACACACACACACACACACACACACACACACACACACACACACACACATACACACACGCACGCACGCACTCACTCACACACACACACACACACACACACACACACACACACACACACACACACACACACACACACACACACACACACACACACACACACACAAATTATCCTCAATATTCTATCTGGTGGAGTTGTTATTTACACTCAAATGCAAACTAACTTGCATCATAGTGAAGAGTAAATAGTCAGTATGCCAATTCAGTTCCCTTGAGTATGATCAAAATGTAAATGAATCATATACTTAGAGGGCACCAAATCAACACCATAGCATAAAAACTGAACCTAAAAAACATAATTGGGTTACTTTCAATTTGTCTTAAAAGTTATCTGGCATTTCTTAAACAATATCCTACAATGATCCTAAGGGAAGGAAGGAAGGATAAAAGGTTAAATGAAAAGAAGAATGGAAGGATGGAGGAAATAAAAGGAAAAAAGATGGAAGGAAAGAAGGAAGGAGAGGGAGAGGGCGATATTAAGGAGAAGCGAAGAGGGAAGGGAGGGAGGGAGGGAGGGAGTATGCAGTAGGTGGATAGGAAAGGAAGTATGTAAAATGTAGAAGTGAAGGTCGTGTGTTGTATTGAAGTGGATTGGTGAGGGAGGGGAGGATGGGTGTCGAGTGGAGGGAAGGATGTGTGGGAGGTGGATGGTGTGTGTGTGTGTGTGTGTGTGAGTGTGTGTGTGTGTGTGTGTGGTGTGTGTAGTGGTGGGATGGTGTGGTGTTGGGTGTGGTGGTGTGTGGTGTTTGTGTGTTTGGTGGTTTTGGTTGTGTGGTGTGTGTGTGTGTTGTGTGTGTGTGTTGTGATGGTTTGTTGTTATTGAGGGTTGTGTGTGTGTGTGTGAGGGTGTGTGTGTGGTGTGGTGTGTGAGGGGTGGTGTGGTGAGGTGTGTGTGTGTGTGGTGTGGTGGTGTAGATGGTGATGTGGTAGTGTTTGTGTTGAATGTGAGTGTGTGTAAGTATGATGGTGTTGTAGAGAGAGAGGAGATTGAGTATGAATGGTAAGTAAGTATTAGCTAGATGAGGCTGAGAGAGAGATAAGGAGTAGATGCATGAGATCAGATAAGTAGAGAGATGAGATGAGTAGAGAGAGAGAGAAGAGATGAGAGAGAGACGAAGAGAGGAGAGAGAGAGAGAGAGAGAGAGAGAGAGAGAAGAAGAGAGCACGGGAAGGAACGGGAGGGTGAGGGGGGAGGGAGGGAAGGTTTCTTTGTGATGGGAGGTTGGAGTGTTTGAGTTTATGGTCTTCGAGGAGTAGGTTTCTTTCTTTTTTTCGTATTGTTTTAGTATTTTGTTTGTTTTCTTGTAGGTGTGTTTGATGGTATTATTTTTTGGTTTGTTTGTGGGTGTGTGGTGTTGTGTGGTGTCGGTGGGTGGTTTATTGTATTGCTTTTTGTATTATTTTTTTTGGTAGTGTTTTTGTTTTTGTATGTGTTTTCTTTTTTTTTTTTATTTTTTTTTTTTTTTTTCAGAGTTTGTTTTTATTTTTTCTTTTTTTTTTTTGGTTTTTGTGTCATTTTTTGTTAAGGTTTTTTATGTTTTTTATTTGTTTTTTTTGTTTAGTTTTTTTTTTCTTTTATTGTATTTGTTTTGGTTTTTTTTTTTTTGAGGCTCTTTGTTTATTTTTGTTTAGATAATATTTTGGGTATGGATGTAGTGATGCGATTGAAGGTTTTATGGTGTTGGGTTGAGTATTTGTGGGGATATTGTAGTATTGTTTTTTATGTTTTTATTGTTTATAGATGTTTATGATCATCGAGAGTATATGTAGATAGAGTAAGATTGGAGGAGATGAAGTATGGAATGATGAGATAGTGAGAGAGAGAGATGAGAGAGTAGTTTATGAATGTAGAGACTGTGTTATATTGAAATATGTGGTTTTTAATGATCTTATTCTTATTAGATGGTGTGTGGTGAGTTGGTATGGGTGATGTGTGTTTATGGTGTGTTGAGGTGTTGATTTTGTGGTTTGTATATTGATATGAGGATATGATGATTTTGACGATGAGAGAGTAATAGTAAGATGAGATGTTATAGATGTATTGAGTTATTTTGTTTGATGTCATTTTTTGTTTTTTCTAATTTTTTTTTTTTGTATTTCTTTTTGTTTTCTAGTATAGATGTTGATAGCTTTTATCTGTTGCTTTTTTATGTAGTTTTTTGGTATGAGTAAGTAGTTTGTTAGGTATTATTTGTGTATGAGATGATAAAGAGTTTTGTGGTTGGGTTATTTTGTGGTTGGGAGTCTTTTTTTTATTTTGTATTTCTTTAGAGTAGAGTCTTATGGTTGTGCAGGAAAGGTTCTATATGTACTTTCTAATATTGTTTTTTTTTTTTTTTTTTTTTTTTTTTTTTTTTTTTACGGTTTGTTTTGTTATTTTTGTTTTTTTTTTTTTTTTTTTGTTTATGTTGTTATTTTTTTTTGTTTGTTTTGTCGTCTGTTTTTATTTTTTATTTTTCTTATTCGTTTATGAGGTCTATAGTATTGTTTCTGTTCTTAATTGTATCTTTTTTTCATATTACCTATTCTAAAGAACGTATGGTGATATTTGTTCGCATTTCAACTCTATATTTATATATGAGGTGACCTTTTATATTAAATATTTAATTTTTTCATTGATATCAGTATTTATATAAATCTTTTAAATTTAGTTTAAAATGTCTATCTTGATCTTACATTTACCTTGTAGTTGTGTGTCGGTATAGTTCACGTTATAAGCAATAATAGATATGTACTAATGTCACCATGCCTTGATTGAGAAAAAATTACCTTTTATATGGATTCTATTTGTTTTGTTTCTTTATCTACCATGTCATCGTTTCTTTTTTTTTATCGTTTTCTTATAAATATTTATTATAATTGCTCTTTCATATCTGTTTGTAATATCTGTGCCCAGATTTCCCTCGACATTTTTTTGTTTTTTGTTTTTATTTTTTATGCACTTGTCTATTCTTAATTCTATTTCACTTCTCAATATCTCCATGACTTTTGTCTTTCCCATATAGGAATTAATCAGTGTCCATTAAATGGCAGCGTCATTGTCATCGTTTGTTTTTTTTCTTTGTGTTTGTGGTCATGTGAATATTTATTATCATGGATGATTTGGGTAAATTAAAATTATATCTACTTTGTATATTACGTGTTATTTTTATAATAATTGTACAGTAGAGACTGTTTTTTCATGTTATTTTTTTTTTTTTCTTTATCATGCTAAATACAGACTGTATAAATTCTGAGTGTTGTTTAAATACTGTATTGATCTATATTTGGTGATATTACTTAGATCGACTGGTGGTGGATAATGATGATTTATTGAACCATGTATATAGTATTTGTTTGATTGGTTTGATGTGTACTGAATAATATGATGATTTTTGAAAACTAGTATCGAAATATAACTATATTAATTAATTTTTCAGTTTGATTAGGCCTAAACTGACAATTTGTTGAGTCAATAACACTAGTTAAAAGGTACATAGTGTATTATATAATACTTTTTTTTTGCTAATTCAAATTTCTTTTTCTAATATCTTTGAATATTATTTTTAACCTCATTTTTTTTACCTAATCTTCCTATTCTATTTTCCTTCTATATGCCTAGAAGAATGCTATAATATATTTACTCCAGCTAGCAAACCTTTTTTAGATAGTGTATTATGTATTTTTCAATCCATTGCAAACATACTTACATTATCAGCAGTATCTTTGTACTATTGCTTTACATAATAGAATTTTTCCCCGTACAATATCAGCATTCTTCCTTTGACCTATTCTTGGCATTATTTACTTTCTGCCATTTAGGGAGGTAGAGAGTGGATAACCATTAATACATTATTCCACTATATCTTTTCTCATTCGGACACTGCGAGTTTTCTTATCATTCATCGTCACTATTTTTCAGCTTTTTGGGTTATTTTGGAGTGACTGTGTGTGTTAATTAGCCTTTTTTGTTTTTTGGTTTTCTTTTTTGTTTTTTTTGTCTGTATTATTTTCCAGTGTTTCACCTTGTTAAGACTTCAATCGTCCCTTAGTACTTTGATTCAGTTTATGACTTTTCTTTAGGGAACAAGTTGTCGTGCCATGCTTTCAGTTCTATGGTTCTCTTTTGTGTTGATAGTAGCCTCGCAATTCCTGACTGGGCAATCATGTGTATGGCTGGATTGTGCCTATGAGTTATGCTGGTCTCATAGGCACATACTTGTGGGATTTTGCTCTCAAACTACCTCTTGTCAGAAAGCTTGGCTATAATCTTCCATAGTAGTCATTAGTTCCAATCCTTTTTTGCAATTATTCTGTAGTAGAATATAGAAGCAATCTTAAACAGAGAATAACCTATTAGTAATGACGTGGAATCTCTTATTGATAGTTTTTACTAAGGAATATCTAATTATCTTCAAAATATTTTTACACACACACGCCTAGTATCTACTTAATGCATATCAGCTGTAATCAATACTCTTCCTGTTACGCAAAAATTCAACCAAAGCATAATTGCTATTCCTTCAGCTCGACTGTGCTCAGTATATTTTTTTACTTAAAGTTTGGTCCTTCAGTTTTCCGACGTGTTATAGAGCCCTCTTACAATTCTATTCAATCATCTGTTAGCATCTCAACTAATACTAAAAGTATGTATCGGCCTAGGGTATTGAGTAGTAGTAATTAGCCTCCATAGAAGTGTCTTCAAGCTTTGGCTGGCCACCTACTATCCCCAATACTGTATATACTATGAAAGAAATGAAATATCAATGTAACACCTGCATTTCTATGGTTGCTTTATGCTATCATTCACGAAGTTCCATTGACATGACTAAATATGGTACCTGTGTGTTGAGGTTTTTGTATGTGGTGGAGCTTGATCGTGGTAATGGGTGTGTATTATTGCTATAGGGTTGGTGTAGTGTCGCTGCTTGTCGTGTGTGCATGTAGTGTTGGTGAATGTGTGCTCTGGATGGTTGTGCGGTGGTGGATGGGGATGTATGTGTGTGTGTATTGTTGTGTGTGTGTGTGTGCTAGTCGAGATATGTTCTCTAGTTCTTGCTTTTTAGTTTGATACAGATATGGATGAGTCTTTGCCGGCATTTTTACCATCTCAGTATTCCAGGAGTAACTACACTCGCATCTTCTATTTCTCTGCCCCAATTATGAATATCGATTTATCATTACTTGAATTGCAATGGTATTATGTATTTTTACAATAAATTTAAAATAAAAAAAAAAAAAAAATAAATATATAATAAATATAAAAAACTTAATACAACAAAGTGAATACTGTGTTACTCAAAGTAAGATAAAAAAAAGGAAAAAAGTCTACCTCTCATCTTCCCACGCTAACATGACCATATGCAAAAATATAATAATAAACACAAAAATCAAAATCCATGAAAATAGACAATGTGTTATAATAATTACTTTGGTAAATGTGATAGGTATAGCAGGATCTGGAACCAGAGATGCCAAGTTCGCTAGCTGTTGCTCCTGTGAGGTGACATGAGCCAGTCGCGCAGATAGGTCTTGGGATGCCATTATTAATCTTCCGTCATCTTGCTGGATGGCTCTCTCACCATCGACAACTACCGTTACCATCTGCCATCAAAATTTGATGCATTTATTTAGGATAAAAATTCCACAATTTCCAATAAAGACATTTCAATTCATGTGCAAAACAAAAAGGACCTTTAGACATCATAATTGTGAATTCTGTTTAGCAAATAAGTAAAAAAAAATAATAATAATTTAAAAAATATATACATATACATATTTACAAACACACACACACACACACACACACACACACATATATATATATATATATATATATATATATATATATATATATATATATATATATATATATATATATATATATATATATATATATATATATATGTTTATGTATGTATGTATATATATGTATGTATATGTATGTATGTATATGTATGTATGTATGTATGTATATGTATGTATGTATATGTATGTATGTATGTATGTATGTATATGTATGCATGTATGTATATGTATGCATGTATGTATATGTATGCATGTATGTATATGTATGCATGTATGTATATGTATGCATGTATGTATGCATGTATATGTATGTATGTATATGTATGTATGTATATATATGTATGTATATGTATGTATGTATGTATGTATGTATGTATGTATGTGTATGTATGTATGTATGTGTATGTATGTATATGTATGTATATGTATGTATATGTATGTATATGTATGTATATGTATGTATATGTATGTATGTATGTATGTATGTACATCCCTCCATATTACTTGTGAGAGAAGGGTAGTCATATCTTCCTGCTGCTGTCTAATGGAGCAGAGCCGTTCCCGAATATGAGCATCCAATACAGTCATTGCCTGCGATTCCTGTCTTGTCAGCTGATCTCTCAACTGGGCAAAATATTGCTTGACACGAGCCCTGGCCTCCTCGGCAGTTCCTCCAGCACTCATTTCCAGAGCAGCAGTCTCAGGGGCAGGTCCCTCTAGCTGACGAGCGACACTTTCTGAAATTTGAGAGCCACTTCAAAAATAAAACATAAAATGTGATGATGCATCAAAGCCAACATAACTCATTTTTATGGGATGGTAGCATTAACCCAATACCCTTGTTATTTATTGTCCACTTCAGTCTTTTGTGATTTTTTTTTTTTGCACTTAAATGGCTCCAAATGTGCTTGGCCACCGAGTCAACTAGTACTTCCTCATGACCTTGCTTGATTTCACCATTCCTTGAATTTGCAGGATTTTATTTTTATTATTGATACTATTACTACTGTTCTGTACATTATGATCAAAATACTAATATGAATAAAATTATAATAAATTGATAATAATAATAAAATAAATTAGAAGATGATATGAAATGATATATCTAATGAGTTATTAACAATGATAATGATAATTACAATCATCATCATCATCATCTGCATCTGCATCTGCATCGTCGTCTACACCATTTGTATCATCATCTACATCATCATCTGCATCAAAGTAATTATGATAACAATAGTAATGATACCAAAAACAATAATAATAATGATAAAAATAACAATTACTATGATAATAACAGTCCTACATTTCCAAAGTATTATATTCGATCATGGAAAAAAGGTAAAATGATGAAAAATTAGTAACTTTCTACGACAGGACACCCACCAAGTTTGTGTGCAGAATCTGTCAGTTCCTGAGCAACTCTCTTGATATGCTGAATGGCTGCACTGATAGTAGAGCGAATCCTCTCTGCTTCCTGCTCTAACAATACATGCTGCAAAAGAGGATATGATGGAATTCTGTTTTATATCAGTTCTATTCAGCAATGAAATCATTACTTACCTACAAGCCTTCCAATCTACTCTTGTAAATTTTAAAATCTATGGTATATCTAATACAACTTCTCATGTTTATATTTATATATAAATACAGTCCTTTTGTATTTCCAGCTTTCTTTCAATTTCAATATTGCTATTATAAATATGATTACTTCAAAATAAAAATAAAATATGTAACAACATTAAAACTACATGCCTTAAAAAAAAAAAAACTCTGACCCCCAAGGATACTAAGTTACCTTGTGTTTGGTGTGTTTGTAATCTTTGCAGATGAAGCACATTAAGGGGGCAGCTTGACACTCCTCCTCCAGACACACAAATTCCACAGGGTGAAATGAGTGGTCTACACATCTTGGTTTCTCTCGTGGCTTCTCTGCAGTCACAATGTGAACAAACATTACATTATGCTTGGAATTTGAACTTGTAATATTGAATATTCTAAATATTTAAATGAAATGAGTTACTGTAATAACACCAAAATATTCAAGTCTTACATACCTGATAAGGGAATGCGTTTATGCTTGTGTAAGGTTCTCGTGGCATGGGTTCTTTCAGAGCATTCTAAGCAGAGATGAGATGCACACACTGTACAATAAAGTACTGCCAAGTGATCTTCATCTTCATCACAGGATATGCCCAGCTGTAAAAAAGAAAAACATTTTTTTAATATCATTACAAGTTTGTCTTTTCTTTCAAACAACTGTTGTATTTCATATTCCTAGAAATATTACACAATATATAGTTATATGGTGTAATATTTTAGTTACAAAAATACACTACAGACTGAGCTATATAATTCATATAAGCATATATATTTTTTCATGGAAACTGGAATCTACAATACTGTCCACTGTATTGTAGCACCTACCTCTTTCTGTTGCACAAGGACTTCTGGCAGGAGTACTGCATCTGATCGCGATAATGACAGTCTTTCTAGGAGTTCAAGGAGGGCAAAGTTTTTCTTGAGACCCCACACACCTGATGCACCTATTGAAACAAAATTAAAGCTTCAGGAATCACTTCATCACTTCAACGTATGGACATGTATAACAATGTGTGTGTGTGTGTGTGTGTGTGTGTGTGTGTGTGTGTGTGTGTGTGTGTGTGTGTGTGTGTGTGTGTGTGTGTGTGTGTGGTGTGTGTGTGTGTGTGTGTGGTGTGTGTGTTGTGTATGTGTTGTGTGTGTGTGTGCGTATATGTGTGTGTGTGTGTGTGTGTGTGTATATGTGTGTTGTGTGTGTATGTGTGTGTATGTGTGTGTGTGTGTGTTGTGTGTGTGTGTGTGTGTGTGTGTGTGTGTGTGTGTGTGTGTGTGTGTGTGTGTGTGTGTGTGTGTGTGTGTGTGTGCGTGTGCGTATGCGTGTGCGTGTGCGTGTGCGTGCATAAATTACATATCAAAGGTAGAACACCAGAAAATACTTCTGCTCAAATCTAATTAGTCTTGTTTGTCATGTCAGCACATATGGATTTTAAATGGGAAAAAATATCAGTAGATTTTACATATGAATATCTATCTATCTCCTCTCACTCACTCTCACTCTCTCACTCCCACTCCCACTCCCACTCTCACTCTCACTCTCACTCTCACTCTCACTCTCACTCTCACTCTCACTCTCTCTCACTCCACACCACTCCCACTCCCACTCCCACTCTCCACTCTCACTCTCACTCTCAACACTCACTCCCACTCTAAAAGAACTGTTAAACACACTGTTGAACAAAGCTACATCAACTTACCAATAGGAGTTGGTTGTCTGTCAAATGGGCAGTGAATGTTATTGTCATGTGTGGGGAGTCTCAGCAGACATGCATGGCAAAGGGTATGGCCACAGAACAGAAGCCGTGGCACTTTATCGCCACCCAGACTGAATCCATCTTCACACACTCGACATTCTAACTGTAAAATAACAAGGGTTTGAAATTGGCATATCAATCAGCCCTTTTCATAGCTGACTTCAACCCTCATACCCTTAATGTCCATTTTCTTTAAGCTGGGGCACAGGGAAGGGTCTGCCCCCTGTCCTGAGAATAAATAAAAGGTGGGAAAGGATAGGTTGGATTTTTGGGTTCACATGATACCCTAGAGGGTGTGTCGTTCATTAGGTTGGACAACATTAAATTAAGATAGGATAGAATTATGAGAAAAGAATAGGCCAAGTTAGGTTAGGAGACATGGGCGGTTTGTTAAAACTGTGCTAGGCCCGACCCAATAAATATTTGTGTAAGTAGACATCCATACACACAGAAATAAATGTATATCTATCGATCTATCAAATAAATACACATTTATTTTTCTATCTGCATGGTAGATATGCACATATAGACTGATAAAAATGTATTTATTCCTGTGAATGTGCATGTCTGCGTAATGAATGTCTATTAGGTCGGGCCTGGCTCAATTTTAACAAACCGGCTGTTTGATTGGATTGACCCAAACTGGACTTGACAAAGCGTTAGGTTGAGTTAAGCTAGGTCGGACATAAGCTAGGTCGGACATAAGCTAGGTCGGACTGGGCTCAGTCTCAAAGCATATAGGCCTAGGCTATATTAGTGTAAATTCCAATTGAAGCAAGGTAGACACGACTATCTTCCTTCCAATCTCACATACTGTTTTCATCCGAAACATTCATTAGCTAAACAGAAAGAGAAATCTGGAGTAAACAAAAGAGGAGCTTATTCACATTCCAAAAAAATTTACATAAATTCCCTATAAATCTTAGCATATGCAAGACACTCATTCCATAGCATTTTTAACCCGTATCCATTGTTTTCTGTATATCATCCTTGTAACTTAACCTTTTGCTCTGTGCTTGAAATTGGATATACTTGAAGGTACATAATTCTTTGTGGTTATCAAGGTTGCATACCATAAATCAACAAGAAATTATGATAATAACAAAAGACTATCTCTACTTTACCTATACAAACACCAATATGAGCTTATTTCTCAGCAATAAATAAATAAAAAGGAAAAATCTATAACATAATATTCAATCCATTTAACTTTTATTTACCATTGGAGTTGCCAACCACCCAATTCTATCACTATTTATACCTACTTTCAAAAACAACGTGATGTTATTCTATCCTTCTTAAGACAATTTTACCTAAAATACATCCCGTCAAATTGAGCAGGAATAAGAAAATAAATAAGCAAACCCGTCATAATCAATTCCACAAATAAAAATAAACATACATGGAAACTCAACCTCTCTCTCCCTCTCTCTCACGCACACACAACACCGAAGAAAAAAGATTTTTTTCTTACGTTATTTCCGCTTTTATTCGTCGAATTCTGCGGTGTGTTGAAAGTATGGAAGGACTGGGACCTCGCTAAGGCTGCCGACATCAACGTCTCCTCTGCCATCTCCATAATAAGGAAGAGAAAAGCACAAATTCTGACAGACAGTGAAAGGGCTGCACACCTACAGCAACACAGAAGGGGAGACTGGGGCTGGGGTATAGGGAGAGGGAGAGGGAGAGGGAGAGGAGAGAGGAGAGAGAGAGGGGAGAGGGGAGAGGGGAGAGGGAGGGAGAGGGAGAGGGAGAGGGAGAGGAGGGAGTGGGAGTGGGAAGTGGAGAGAGAGAGAGAGAGAGAGAGAGAGAGAGAGAGAGAGAGAGAGAGAGAGAGAGATGGAGGGGGGGGGGGGGAGGGGGAAAGAGAGTAATGGAGGAAGGGAGCAAGAGAGCGGGGAAGGGGGGAAGGAGAGAAAAGAGTCGGGAAGGGAGGGAGGGAGGAAAGGGAGAGAAAGAGCGGGGAAACTAGGGAGGGAGGGAAGGGAGAGGGAAGAGAGAGAGAAGGGAAAGAGAGGGGGAATTATAATTATATTTTATATATCCTGGTCATGTTCTAAAATTATCTGCCAACTGCCTCTCTCGTCGCACATCCAGATCCAACCAAAATTTGGTTTTCCATTGTACTCATATCCTATTTCTTTTCCGCCCGTTGTTCAAGTATTAATTGGATTTTTCTCTGTATGGCATCATCAATACTGCTGATCAGCAAATTTGTTCCTAGTCTTTTATCTGTTCATTCTTCATCCTCCATTATTCTTTATTACACGTGCTGCAGGATAATGTCTGGCGAATGCAATTTCCAGAACAGGTTTTGTTATGGCCAGTGATGTCTGCTATGTTTAACGGCAGCCTAGTTTCATCGATCTTGAGATTATTCCAAATAGTACCAGTGATTTGGAACCCATGGTATCAGGATACCGACTCGGGAGAGATCTTTTCTCTCTGTGTAGCTGCAGGCCGCTGGCGGAATCACGCTGCACCATTAAAACCCATGACGTGGCTGCATGACCTTATACAGAGGCTTATCTTTATCAAATCCTGCCCATAAACTTATTCCCTAAAAGTCTCAACGTGGCTGGAGGCCTAGCTTAATTAGTGTACCTTGACCAAGCAATGGGGTACTGGCTGAAGTCCACGTGGTCATTCTTGTCCTTTCTTGTAAAACCTAGCATCTGCAGTACAGGCAAAAGTATATGTGCGGTATTAGCATTATTTATGACAAATAATTTGATCACAGACTGTTTACGGAAGGGATATGACATACTTAGGATGGGGTTGAGTCCATCCTCTTAGTTGGTGCTAGGAGTTCGAGGTGTCTCAGTACTTGAGCTCTGAGATCTATGTCGGGTGCTTACATAATTTTGGCAGAGAATTTTCCCGCCATCTGATCGATATGAGTGTCCAGGGGTAGAAAGACCGACTGTGTTTATGGCAACCAGAAGCATAGTCCTTAGTACACATTTTACGCGTACATAAACTGAACCCTTGTACCTAGTGGTCTGTATGGCTGCACCTATGTATCTGTGTCAATGACCTCTTTTAAAAATGTGAGCCTTTGGTTAATTCGTACCTCAAGGCATCCAGGTTTGCCTAGTCCCTGGACATGGCCGTGTACTTGGACATTGTGTTTCATTTTTCGATTTACCAACAGAAATCTTTTATTTTACCTTGCAACATTCCTCGGAGGCTTAAAGAAATATTGCATAGCAGATATCAAGATCCTGAAGAAGGCTAGTATTAGAACCCCATCCTGAGGCTTGCTTGTCTGAGAAGTGACCATTGATAATAATTACACTGAATCTATAGAAGTGAAAATCGTTTTTGGTCCTTAAAGAATATTAGAACAGAACATGGTTACTGTAATACGGTGATATTTATAATTCAACTCTTTTAGCAGTCAAATAATATTTGTAATCATAAGCTGCCTGCACTTTAACCAGTGTCAGTGCTGTCGCTGTCATACATTAACAAAATTAGGTCTCACATTCTTCGGGCAGGAACATTCTAAATTTCCGGTAACATACATTCTAGATCCAGTCTCCTTATTTATAGGTCTGAAATATAAATTTATTGAAATTAGTTGACTCAGGGCTTAGCTGACCCTGTCGTCTTAAAAGTTGAATTCACTGCATGCCATGTCAAGTACACTCAAAATTTCTAAACTTTAATCTTACATGAACACTATATAAAGTTAGCAGATTGGACTGTAATTCAGTAAGGAATGTCTGAAGCCTAATCTAACACAAAAATCTTGCTCTCAGGATTCAGTGAATCAAACGCATTATTATCTAATAACAGGAGCCTTCATGACTCCTAAATTATGAACGGAATTTGGTTATGATCTGAGGCTGCCTGGTTTATGGCACTGGCCATGTTGGTCCCGAGTACATCCATATTGTCAGTTGCAAAGACTTCAGTTGGATCTCAACTACCACTTAGCTATGGCATCCTGAAAGGCAAAATCTACCTTCCATCTAGGATTGTGCAGGTGCTAGATGTACAAAGAAAAGGGTGATACACAGCCCCACAAAGGATAAAGATGCCGTTTTAATTAGCAATTAACGTTTTCATACAAAGTGCAGGGGATATTTTCTTTACGCAGAGTGATTAAACTGAGCATCAGGAGAGGCCTTTTTGGGAGGTGGATCACTTCTTTCAGAACGAGGATGATAGATATCCGTTCTGCTCTGTGCTCGGGCGTGAGTGCTTGGGGGGGGGGGGGGAGAAAATTAGGTTGTTTGGTTTTCAAACCTATGGTGAAAAGCGATGGAGTGGATTTAAACATCTTTAAGCTAACTACGGTTTTTGCGTGGATTTCTGTTTTCTTAAATGATAATTATGATTATTTGGGAATGGGAAACGGATGGGCCGTATTTCAAAATTACTCTAGTAGGCCTATACATCTGCTGCAATGGCAACGGCAATATGGACTTGACGAAAGGTTTGTACTGAAAAAGTGTTGGAATTTAGTAACTGTTATATGCATTTATTATAAAATCATGGGTGAAACAGAAATATTCTTGATATTTTCGCTAGCAGAAAATAACAGCGCTATGCTGGTTTTCCGATGACATGACTTGAAAAAAAAAAAAAACTGCAGCGAAATGACCAATGATTTCAGTGTTTCCTTGAATAATGAGTTAAGATGTATGAAGTCATTATACTGTTAATATAATACTACAGTTCCTTTGTTCCTTGCTCCTTTTGTGACGAACTTCTATGAACATTTTGTCTGTTTAAAAGATAAAAAATAATATCTTAAAAAAAAAAAGTTTCTACACAGGCCTAAAGGTTTTAATATTTTAGAAAATCGATTATAGTTCTGGTACAACGGTGAATTTAAGATCTGGAAACCGTTTCAGAGGCTCCCAGTAGAGTTAGGAATCATAAATCAAGGAAAAAGAGAGAAAAAAAATATGTACAATGC